AACAAGTTTAAATGTAGTCCAGCAACTCACGTTATCATGAATTTTTACAAATTTTCTAATGAACACATGGCATACCGTTAGCAGTCATGTCTATCAAAAGCATTTAATTTTTTTAATGAATATAGAAAAATCATGGCATTGTAATGAAGAATCACATTTTTCCAAACCATACAGTTACTTTCCCTCATCCACCCATATTGGCTTTTTCATCAAAAAAAGCGAGGGGGGGGAAATAATCATCATAGCTTACACTGTTGGAAGCTTCTCACAAAGTAAAGGGGCAGAAGGAGAGGAATAAGGCAAAAGGAAGGGATGAGGGAAAGGGTACTGGGAGACCTAAGAGGTATCCCTGTATGTCTGTGCGCAAGCTCTTCCTCAGAGGGAGGGGAATGGAGAAAGGGCTAGGGTCAGGGTATGGGGAGGCAGAGGGAGTATCCCCATGTGACCTTGCGCTGGCTCTTCCTCAGATGGGGATGACACGCCCTCCACTCCCGGTCCCGCCACATGTCCCGCTCCCGAGGCCGCCGCGCCGGAACCCGTTCCTGCCGTTCCCGCTCGTCGCACCTACACCCGGGACTTCCTTGTGAAGTGTGCCGCCTCTCCCCTAAGCCGCCTCACCCCAAACAACTGGTCGCAAGTGGTGCGGCAATCGCCCTTGGTCCTCAAGAAGGTGCAGTGTTGCTAGCCTCATGTCACACGTATATAACAACCCCTACACTCAATGCCCATTACTAACATCATTCCCTGAGTGTCACTTCTCCCTTAGGGGTGGATAGAAGAAGCTGAACTTCGGTATTATAACACCCAGCCAATGGGATTGGATGGGCACGTGCTTGTGTGTTTGAGTATTGTTGTTGGCGGTGGTGAAGTAGATGTACAGTACATGTAGTGGTGTGTATTCTCAAAGCAGAACAAGTTGGAGTATGCTTTGTTATTATGATCTATATGAACAGTACGTATGCAATAAATAATGCATATGCAAATATATATACAAATACGTGTGTGTGTGTGTGTGTATGTGTTTGTGTGTCTGTGTGTCTGTGTGTTTACGCATATATGTGTACATGTATGTATAAGTATGTATATATATATATATATATATATATATATATAATATATAATATTATATAATATATATATTATATATATATATATTATATATATATATTTTATATATGTTTATATATATATGAATACATATGTATATATATATATATATATATATATATATATATATATATATATTATATATATATTATATATATATATATATATATACATACACACATGTATGTATGTATGTATGTATATGTTTCTGCCTATATGTATGTATAGATATATGTATATATATATATATATATATATATATATATATATATATATATATATATATATTATATATATATATCTGTATATGTATATGTATGTATATGGATATGGCATGTATACACCTAGATATGCAGATAACAAGCTAATACTTTTTTCAAGTACTGTACTGCCTTACGTATTGTTCATATAGATGGTTAATACCAACTATATATTCAGCCTGAGAATCTCTTCTTAATAAAACTGTAGTGTATGTAAACCATATACACATATGCAGTCCACCTCAAAATGTATAGAATAATAAGAGAAAGACTCTCAGGTTGAATAAAAACATTGTTGATATTATAGTACTAACCTTTATAGATTTATGATGCATGGAAGATTAATATGACATCATTTGACAGATGCTTATGTATAGTTTAGAACAGTAACATGCAGTATGTGATATGTGGAATAAAGATGTTGAAAAGCTGTGCATGAAGATAAGAGATTAATGTTTATACAAAAAACAGGTGCCTTTATTTCATCATGAAAATACCTTCTGATAAATGAATGGTAAAAAGATCTATTTTAAAGCATGGGACCAGAATGTTTGTAATACAAGTGTTGATTTATGAATAACAAACATCAATCCATATTTTCTAATGTAAATTTTCCTATAAATACTCGTAAATGGTAAGACAGCATGTTCATATATTTATAAATGAAAATGATATTTGAATAGAAATTATTTTCAGAAAGATTATACTCAATGAAAAACCCAGTGATATAAAAGGAATATGGTGCCCAGGATAGAATTATATTAATTAGGATTGGTATATGTTTTCATGGTATATAACTGTATTCCATGTGCAATGGAAACAGCCTCATCCTCAGAAACTGTATAACATAGTATTATGACTCAGATTGAGAATTATTTCAAAAGTGCATTACTCAAGTTTTTTGCCCCCCCCCCCTCATAATGAGGAAAGTGAGAAGAGCACCACGTAGATTAAATACGAAGTAAAAATTATTACACAGGACTTACAGATAGGGAATATTCTTTTTTTTTTTTTTTTTTAGAAATGTAGAAAACTATTTTTAGGTAGAACTTCTTATAACTATGAAGTACATATGGGATATTTTATTACTATGAATCTTCATTTGGGATGTTTTTTAACTATGAGGTATTTATATGGATATGGGAAGAGAAATAGATTTTCATGTTCTGGTTTGCAGTGCTGTGCAACTTGCAACAAAGCATACATTGTGTCCGAAAACCCCTTGTTTCATGCACGATAATAGTTTTGTAATTAACTCAAGTATCAATCTTCAGTGCACGTTCATTTATTTGTTAATTACTCTTCTAACTGTTTCTTTGTTGATATCTAATTAACTTGTTATTTAAAGAGACTTACCAAAGATTTTTTGTTTTAAGTGTTTTCCCTTAATATTTTTGTTCGAAGTGTTTCCCTTAAACATGATGTTTTTAAGCTTGAAGTGGCTTGTGTCTGTATGGCAGCATCTTACGACATAGGGTATCTTCCCTGTGAATATATTTAGTAAAAATCTCTAGTTGTATCATTTACCTTTTGAGTAGGAAGAAGAAATGTAACTTAGTTTTTCCAGTAGTTGTAGATTTGGGAAATGTAATTAAGGATTTTAGGAGTAAGAAGCATGTATATACGAAGCACACACACACACACACACACACACACACACACACACACACACACACACACACACACACACACACACACACACACACACACACACACACACACACACACACACACACACACACACACACACACACACACACACACAACCACACCACACCACACCACACACACATACACACACATATATGTGTGTGAAAGTGTGTGTGCATGTAAGTATTAATATATAATATTTATGTATCATTTTATCATTGTATATTTTTTGATTATTTATTTTAAATGTACTGTGAAAGCTCATGATGTTCAGAAATATTTCTATGTAATTAACTCAAATGTTGTATATATAATATTAATCACTATTAATTTTGTATTTCTCTTAAATTAACTTTCATGGAAATATTTTCTTTCATGACTTTCTTTCTGTATCATTTTATTTTATTTATCACTTACCTATCCTCAGCCATTTATCCTTCATAAGTCTATTCCTCTTCCCTTATCCTAGACTCACAGGACAAAATATTTTTGTACCGTTTGAAAAAGGGAAAAAAAAAATGTCCTAATTCCCTCCCACCCATAAGGGATTCCAGATACTGCACGCATTTTAGGTGAAGGACTTGTGTCGTTGCACTATTTCTATGTGGTAATTGGTAGCACGTTGGTCTTTCCGTCCACAGAGCTGGCAGTATCAAGCAGGTGTGGTAGCGACACTGAATGAACAGGGAGACGCAGCCCTTAATGCAGTGCCTACGTACCTCCAGGTATGGGGTTCTTGCTTCTCTCAGTGAAAATGAGGGATTGTTTTCTTCTCATTATTATTCATACTATTGACATTAGCCTATAGGAACAAATTTTATGCTGAGAATTACATCTGAAAATTTAATACAACCTATATTGTTATATACCTCACATCTCACACCCACATCCCATTTCCTGCAGGCAAGTGACCTGGAGGACGCGGCAGCCTTGGCCAAGAGGGAACTGCGCTGGACCCTGGTCAGAACAATGTCCACCACTGAGGAAGATGATAATGGAAATAACAGCACCTCTTAGAAGAATGGTTGTGAAGTTTGTATATTAAATAACAGTGGAAGGAATTTTATGATGTTGCGTTAATATTAATTGTGTTTTTATAAACAGATATATATGTATACATGTAAGGATTATCATGTGAAGTTGTCTTTTTGATACATGTTTCTTTGTCTCTTTGTCTTTTGTGGCATTTGACTTGATGTCAAATGCATTTTTGTTTTTTTTTACAGATCTGTTTGTTAGATGATATGTATTGTAACAGAACTTGCCTTTTGTTTTTTATTCAATAACGTACACAAATAATCTAAAATTCAGCTACATTATCAAGCCAGAAATGTAACACACCCACTATAGTCAACATATACCACAGGTTGAGACTTTTAGTATAAAATAAAACAAAGTGAAATTAATTGAACCACAAATCCATAGAAAATTACCTTCAGCATATTCACCACAAAAAAGCAGCCATAACTGATTGTCATTGGCTGGCTTTCCCCTTGAATCTCATGTGTCTGGGCTTGAAAAGGGTCAGGGATCCAATTCAGAGCCTAGTTACATACTCAGTATTTCATAGCTATTTATGAGGGATTTACATAAAGTATATATATTTATATCATGTCCTTTTTTCTGTTTGGTGGATATGTTGAAGCTAATATGATATTGGGAATGGCTGATATTGTATGATAAATAAGCGGCTGTTTGTGTATGGTAAATAAGATATTTTTTGTTACAAAATTAGGATAACATGTACTGAGACCCAATAATAAATGCTGTTGCAAACATTCTCCAGCATTTTGGTTGATAATATTTATTGACGCAGTGGGTTTTTAGCTTAAGGATATTTGATACATTGTTTTAATGGTGATAAACGTGATGTTTTTAAAAGAATATTCACCACTAAAATGAGTTTTGTCTTTAGAAATTATACAGTGTAATGAGTTTCCATTTCATTATTGTCTACAAAAAAAGATGTGAATAACATCTTTAGATTTTTAGTTGCTATGAATATGAAAATCATATATTTATATATACATATTCTTCCTATTCATGGAGGTATTTAAAGTAATTGCAAAATACAAAGTAGATGCATTGGTTCTCATGTGAACACGATTTGGTAAGACTATACAAAAATGTGCCTTTTGTATTCTATAAGAAGTTTCTTTTTTTTCTTTTTTAACAAGCAAGAAATAGTAATTAAATCTTCGTCTTTAGATCAAATGATGTAACTTCTGATCATTAGAAATAAGTGATAGTAGTGAGTCGACTATTAATGTTTAGAAAAGAATGTTTCCTAGTGCTTGCATCTTTCGCATTCTTTTTTGGTTTCATTTTGTTATTAGAAACCCCATTTTTGTTGGTTTCTTTTGTTGATTCATGTCTTATTTTTTTCTACTATATAGAAGAAGTTAAAATTCTCTATTGCTCTCTTTCTCTTTAATTTATCTCAAAGAAAAAAAATATAATGCATTTTTTTGTGTATTCATTCTCCTGGGTCGAAGGTGTTTATTCTAGTCTCTTCAGAGGAACTTGTTTATTTTTGTTAAAACCTTTTTTTTGTAGTTTGTTATTTGTTATTAGTAGAAATGCTCCCATATCCACTATACTTTATAATCGACAACGAATAAAGGATAAGTTAATATTTTTGTCTTTTGGATTTGGTAAACCTTTTTCTTTATTTTCCCAAGCAACTATATTCTCAGGGTCATATGAATGTGAAAAAAAGGAAAACTGAAATACATGATATTCTAATACAAAACAAATGATAAGAAAAGAAAAGAGTATTGAAGAAAAGAAAAAGAAAAATTATGTGGTCTAAATTACCAACTCAGAAAACTATATGGAATTCTTATAAATATTATATGAAATTTAACCACACAGTAATGGTGACAGCTATAACCATCATGATGTAACAGCTTATGACATGACTCACAGTGGATGGGCCGGCTGTTTCACAGCTTAGGCCTAGCCACAAAGTGTACACTGTTCTGTAATATTACATCACAAATAAATTGGGCGCTGTCACAATAGGGTTATTAATACTTAATACTAAGTATGCATCACAAAATAGTCTTAAAAATGGTCCTATATGATGAATTCAATTCAAAGATGGGTGTGAAATTTTTCATAAGAAATGTATCAAGAAAGAAAGAAAGAAAGAAGAAAAATGCAGACAGCTGCCTGAGAGAAAAATTAGAAGCCAGGGAATGCATTTGTCCCATTTCCTACACTTTTAACTGCATCCTACTTCAGACTGCAACCAAGGCCAAATAAACAAACAACTATTTATCACACAAACAGAGCAGGTTTGCCTGTGCATGGAATGAATACTTACCACCCAGCATTTGGGCCTAGTTTGCCATGTGATTAGATGTCATGTGGCATGTATGGGTTAATCAAATGCACCCACCAAGGAAACAAAAAGCATTCATGAAGAATTGACAATTTGTATATTGAGTCTTCAAACACCTTGATATTGTCATTAGCTAGGGGACAAGATTTGCAGGTTGATAATTGTTCTCATTTTTAATTTTTTCAGTTAAGATCTGAGGGTGCTTCTTGGCCAGTTGAGGTTTTGGGTATTAATAATCTGCAACATCATTTTGCCTTATGACAAGGAACTATGTTATATATGCCAATTTGAAAATATGTTTCTTCATAAAATACATTCTAGCCCATCCTATTATCTGCAACTTTATCTTTCCATGATTTTTTTGCTTTTGCTTTAATTTCCTTTTACTAAAGTGAGCAACAGTAAACAGACAATGAATATCATGGTTTGTCCTTGTAATGTCTTCTTTTGTATAATGCATTTCCAGCCTATGTACCATAAATTCAGGCATTTTTAGAGATACATATCTAATGAAAAATATTTAAAAATTGAGAATTTCAATTCTAGGATAGAAAATACTTCAGTCTTCAGTCTTAAGCATTAAGACCTTTGTTGTGGATGGCATCAGGTATGCTATGGTTGCACTGGATCAAGTTGTAGGTGGCAATACATCATGACACAGTCTGTGTCATTAGCTCATCAAAGGGAGCTTATCTTTCTATTATAGAAGTAGTGTTATTTATCTGGCATTATGATTAGATACAGGGACCTGTCTTACAACTGTATTGCTGCTATATTAAGTACAACTGCATACATTTCTGACTTCCACTCACTAAATTACATTTTGGTCATTTTGAGAAAATTGCTTGAAAAGTTTGATTGCTAGTTGTGCATTTGCTTATAACTGAATATTTCAGGTTAGTGTTCAGAATGTTCCAGTGTCCTCAATACTTGACAATTTCTGAGCCTTATTGTGTTTTCATTATTCAAATGTAACAAATGGAACCTTGTAGCTTTGAAAGTTAAAATGCAATTTACACAGTTCTATTTGATTTGACAAAGTTTTTAAAAGAGTAATGGAACAATAAAACTAAGTAAATAAACCAGCTTCTTTGTGATTATTGCTACTGGTACCAAATTGCAATAACAGCACATCAC